AAAACTCATCAGTAACGTATAATTAATTACACAATCTACATTGGAGAGGAAAAAGAAATTTCAAAGTATTCACACAATCTACAATCATGATGCAATGAAAAAGCATTCTCAGAGTCAACCCAACGTCGACGACTACACACTGGTCATTATCTTCAACAATGTTAGTTTTCCTTTTATGATTACGAGATTGATTTTTCATTTATCGTGTTTCAAAAATTTGTGGATTAAATTATTATGTATAATGTTTATTATTCATTATTTAGTTAGATTATTGGATGTCGTAGAGATTTATATGTATATTAATGAATTTGACACCTTAATCACGTCGAAAATGATGACGGCTAGAAAACACTTGGTCAGCCTGATTGTGTTAGACTGTGCCTTCTACAATCGGCGTGCGCTCACTGTTGTATTTTTCTTTTCATTTTCTTTTCAATTTAATATTTTTTTAATTCTTCTCTTTTTATGATAAATATTTTTTAAAATTTTAATTATATACTATTTATATTCTTTATTTATTTATTTTCAAATTTAATTAAATAATATCTGTATTATTTATTTAATTTATTTTGTTTTTATTATAATTTTTTTGGAAATAATTTTAAAATTTCTTAATTGTTTATTTTTTTTTGTTTAAAATTATTTTTAATTCTTTTCTATTTATGATAAATTTTAATTAAATAATATTTATAATCTTTGTTTAATTTTCATAATTTTTTATTTATTTTTACCTTTTATATTCTAAAAACCCCTTGACACTTGCCCCTTGGGAATTGCGGAAAACCTATCAATAATGTGATTCAAATTCAGAAAGTCCGGAAAATAATATAAGAAAACACGAGCATTGCTAACAACACTGTTGTACTCAAGCAAGTAATGTTGCACATTTATCGAAGTGTGTGAGAGGAAAAATTTGGATGGATTTCTTTGTACAGCGTCGAGTGGAGACGGATGCAGACATTGTAGAGAGGATTGCGAAACAGAAAGGGGATTTTCTAGTGGGGGTGAGGAGAGGAAATGCAAGGAAATGACTAATTGACCCGGCTATATTTTCATAGTGACATTTGACCATTAAAAAAACAGTTAAAAAGTATAAAATGTAAGTTTGTTACCAAAAACTCAAAATTACCCTCATCTTCTACCTATTGCTTGAGTAGAGAGGAAAAAGAAATTTCAAATTACTCGCACAATCTACAGTCGAGATTCCGTTGATTCAGTATCCCCAGAGTCAACTCAACACCAACCACCACACACTGGTCATTATCTTCAACAAGGTTTTTTTTTTTTTTTTTTTTTTGGGATTATGAGAATAATTTTTCATTTATTATGTTTCAAAAATTTGTGGATTAAATTGTTGTGTATAATGCTTATTCTTTATTATTTAGGTGTATTACTAGGCGTAATAGAGACTTACGTGCATATTAATAAACTTGACACCTTAATCTCATCGAAAATGATGATGGCAAAAAATAGTTAGCCCGTCAATTGTTATGTATAATGTTTATTATTCATTATTTAGGTAGATTATTGGATGTAGTAGAGACCTATATGTATATTAATGAATTTGACAACTTAAATCACGTCGAAAATGATGGTGGCAAGAAAACACTTGGCCAGCCTAATTGTCTTAGTCTAGGCCTTTTCACAGTTGGCATGCACTGACTGTTGTATTTTTCTTTTCATTTTCTTTTCAATTTAATATTTTTTTAATTCTTTTCTTTTTATGATAAATATTTTTTAAAATTTTAATTATATTCTATTTATATTCTTTATTTATGTATTTTCAAATTTAATTAAATAATATCTGTATTTTTTATTGAATTTATTTTGCTTTTATTATAATTTTTTTGGAAAAAATTTTAAAATTTCTTAATTGTATTTTTTTTTGTTTAAAATTATTTCTAATTCTTTTCTATTTATGATAAATTTTAATTAAATAATATTTATAATATTTGTTTAATTTTCATAAATTTTTTTATTTGTTTTTACGTTTTATATTCTAAGAACCCCATGACACTTGCCCCTCGGGAATTGCGGAAAACCTATCAATAATGTGATTCAAATTCAGAAATATCCAGACAATAATATAAGAAAACACGAGAATTGCTAACAACACTATAGTACTCAAGCAAGTAATGTTGCACATTTATCGAAATGTGAGAGAGGAAAAATTTGGATGGATTTCTTTGTACAGCGTCGAGTGGAGACGGATGCAGACATTCCAGAGAGGATTGCGAAACTGAAAGGGGATTTTCTAGTGGGGGTAAGGAGAGGAAATACAAGGAAATGACTAATTGACCCGCCTATATTTTCATAGTGACATTTGACCATTAAAAAAACAGTTAAAAAGTATAAAATGTAAGTTAAATACCAAAAACTCAAAATTACCCTCATCTTCCACCAATTGCTTGAGTGGAGAGGCAAAAAAAATTTCAAATTACTCGCACAATCTACAGTTGAGATTCCGTAGAAGAAGTATTCCCAGAGTCAACTCAGCACCGACCGCCACACACTGGTCATTATCTTCAACAAGGCCATTTTTTTTATGGGATTAATTTTTCATTTATTATGTTTCGAAAATTTGTGGATAAAATTGTTGTGTATAATGCTCATCCTTTATTATTTAGGTATATTATTGGGCGTAATAGAGACTTACGTGTATATTAATAAACTTGACACCTTAATCTCATCGAAAATGATGATGGCAAAAAATAGTCAGCCGGTCAATTGTGAAACACAGTCGACTGGTCTAACTGTTAAACTTAGCAGTTGGCCTATATTTTATCACAGTCGGCTGGTATGACCGTCAATTGTTGTTATAATGGTGGTGATAAGCCTTACTTCGGCAAACTCATGGCTCCCCTTTAAAGGAAAACACTGCTCGGACTCCCCAAAGCTTGGCTTAAAAACGTTAACGCAAACTTGATTATGACTGACGAATCAAGGCTTACGCAAATTGAGATACTAGTAAGGCTCCGAATGCGTCACCACCATCCTCCCTTCGGATGCCAATGCATAATCAACCATCATCAACTCATCATCAACATGCCTTTGTATTTCCTTCTCTGTAGAATTCCTTAACTTGTCTCGGTCCAGGGTATAGGCCCCAAATTTTTTTGAATTCAGATATTCCTAAAAAATATCTCTCTATTGCTCATTAGTAAGTGAATTTTTTTACTTAATTTCGCCCATGAAATTATCTAGTGTCTCATCAAATTCATTTTTTCTGGAATCCACATGCAACTGAATAGCATTTAAAGAAACCTTTGTGAATTTATCAATCTCCGCAAACTCACAATGGTTGCTTCCCCTTAAAATTGCTGAAAACTCATCAGTAACGTATAATTGATTACACAATCTACATTGGAGAGGAAAAGGAAATTTCAAATTATTCTCACAATCTACAATCGTAATCCAGTCGAAATCCAACGTCGACCACTACACACTGGCCATTATCTTCAACAATGTTAGTTTTCTTGTTGTGATTATGAGATTGATTTTTCATTTATCGAGTTTCAAAAATCTGTGGATTAAATTGTTATGTATAATGTTTATTATTCATTGTTTAGTTAGATTATTGGATGTAATAGAGATTTATATGTATATTAATGAATTTGACACCTTAATCACGTCGAAAATGATGATGTCCAGAAAACACTTGGCCAGCTTGATCGTGTTAGTCTAGGCCTTTTCACAATCGGCACGTGCTAACTGTTGTATTTTTCTTTTCAATTTAATATTTTTTTTAATTCTTTTCTGTTCATGATAAATATTTTTTTAAATTTCAATTATATTCTATTTATATTCTTTATTTATTTATTTTCAAATTTAATTAAATAATATTTGTATTTTTTATTGAATTTCTTTGGCTTTTATTATAATTTTTTTGGAAAAAATTTTAAAATTTCTTAATTGTATTTTTTTTGTTTGTTTAAAATTATTTCTAACTCTTTTCTATTTATGATAAATTTTAATTAAATAATATTTATAATCTTTGTTTAATTTTCATAAATTTTTTTATTTGTTTTTACATTTTATATTCTAAGAACCCCTTGACACTTGCTCCTCGGGCATTGCGGAAAACCTATCAATAATGTGATTCAAATTCAGAAATATCCAGACAATAATATAAGAAAACACGAGCATTGCTAACAACACTGTAGTACTTAAGCAAGTAATGTTGCACATTTATCGAAATGTGAGAGAGGAAAATTTTGGATGGATTTCTTTGTACAGCGTCGAGTGGAGACGGATGCAGACATTGTGAAACAGAAAGGGGATTTTCTAGTGGGGGTAAGGAGAGGAAATACAAGGAAATGACTAATTGACCCGACTATATTTTCATAGTGACGTTTGACCATTAAAAAAAACAGTTAAAAAGTATAAACTGAAAGTTAAATACCAAAAACTCAAAATTACCCTCATCTTCTACCAATTGCTTGAGTGGAGAGGAAAAAGAAATTTCAAATTACTCGTACAATCTACAGTCTAGATTTCGTCGAAGAAGTATCCCCAGAGTCAACTCAGCACCGACCACCACACGCTGGTTATTATCTTCAACAAGGCCAGTTTTTTTTTTTTAAGAGATTAATTTTTCATTTATTATGTTTCGAAAATTTGTGGATAAAATTGTTGTGTATAATGCTTATCCTTTATTATTTAGGTATATTATTGGGCGTAATAGAGACTTACGTGCATATTAATAAACTTGACACCTTAATCTCATCGAAAATGGTGTTGGCAAAAAATAGTCAGAAGGTCAATTGTGAAACACAGTTGACTGGTCTAACTATTAAACTTAACAGTTGGCCTGTATTTTTTCACAGTCGGCTGGTATGATCGTCAATTGTTGGTATAATGGTGGTGATAAGCCTTACTTCGGCAAACTCACAGCTCCCCTTTAAAGGAAAACACTACTCGGGCTCCCCAAAGCTTGGCTTAAAAACGTTAACGTAAACCTGATTATGACTGGCGAATCAAGGCTTACGCCAATTGAGATACTAGTAAGGCTCCGAATGAGTCACCACCATCCTCCCTCCGGATGCCAATGCATAATCAACCATCATCAACTCGTCATCAGCATGCCTTTGTATTTCCTTCTCTGCAGAATTCTTTATCTCGTCTCCATCCAGGGTACAGGCCCCAAAATTTTTTGAATTCAGATATTCCTAAAAAATATCTCTCTATTGCTCATTAGTAAGTGAATTTTTTTACTTAATTTCGCCCATGAAATTATCTAGTCTCTCATCAAATTCATTTTTTCTAGAATCCACATGCACCTGAATAGCATGTAAAGACACCTTTGTGAACTTATCAATCTCCGCGAACTCGCAATGGACACTTCCCTCTAAAATTGCTGAAAACTCATCAGTAACGTATAATGAATTACACAATCTGCATTGGAGAGGAAAAATAAATTTTAAATTATTCACTCAATCTACAATCGTGATCCAGTCGANAACAAATTAGCAAATTCTTATTTTTTTTCCTATTTTTTAATTAATTTAAAAAAATTAATTAAATATTCTTTGTAAATTAATTTTTAATTTTTTTATATCGTTTATTTAACTTTCATATTTTCCTGTTGTTTTAATTTTTAATATGTATAATTAAATAATTAATTTCAAATTGATAATTACGAAAATTAAATATTTATTTCTTTTAATTTTAAATTCTTTAATTAAATGTTCATTGTAAACAAATATTAATTTCTCAAATTTAATTAAATAATATCTATATTTTTTATTTAATTTATTTTTTATTATTATACTTCTTTTGAAAATAATTTTTAAATTTCTTAATTGTTTATTTTTTGTTTGTTTAAAATTATTTTTAATACTTTTCTATTTATGATAAATTTTAATTAAATAATATTTATAATCTTTGTTTAATTTTCATATATTTTTTTAATTTTTTAATTTGTTTTTACATTTTATATTCTTAAAACCCCTCGACACTTGTCCCTCAGGAATTGCGGAAAGCCTATCAATAATGTGATTCAAATTCAGAAATATTATTGGGCGTAATAGAGACTTACGTGTATATTAATGAACTTAACACCTTAATCTCTTTGAAAATGATAATGGCAAAAAATATTAAGCCGGTCAATTGTGAAACTAAGTCGACTGGTCTGACCGTTAAACTTAAAAGTTGGCCTGTATTTTATCACAGTCGGCTGGTATGATTGTCAATTGTTTTTTCTTCATTTTTTTAATTTAAAATTATTTTGAATTCTTTGCTTTTTATGGTAATATATAATTTTGTTAATTTTAATTATATAATATTTATATTCTTTATTAATTTAAATTTTTCTATTTTAATTAAATAAAATTTATATTCTTTATTTAATTTTCATAATTTTTTTTTATTTTTTTATAATTATTTTCTATTTATGATAAAATTTATTTTAATTAAATAATATTATATTCTTTGTTTAATTTTCATATTTTTTAATTTGTTTTTAAATTCTATATCCTGAAAACCCATCGATACTTTTTCCCCAAAATTGCTGAAAACCCATCAATAACGTAATTCCATTTCAGGAATACCCAAACAATAATATGAGAAAACACAGGCACTACAAACAACACTGTAATACTTAAGCAAGTAATGTTGTAGCATTATCAAAATATGAGAGAGGAAAGATCTGGGTGGATTTCTTTGTCCATCGCCGAGTGGAGACGAGTGCAGATATTGCAAAGAGGATTGCGAAACAAAAATGGGATTTTCTGGTGGAGGGTAAGGGGTGGAAATACAAGGAAATGACTACTTGACCCGACTATATTTCCATAGAGGCTTTTAAACATTGAAAAAACCCAATTAAAATGTATAAAAGGTTAAGTTATATACTAAAATCCAAAAATGTCCTCATCTTCTACCAACTGCTAGAGAGGTGAGGAAAAAGAAATTACAAATTATTCACACAATCTACAGTCGGTATCCAGCCGAAGAAGAATCCTGAAAGTCAACCTAACGCCAATCACCACGCACTGACTATTATTTTCAATAATGTTAGTACCAACAACACTGTAATACTCAAGTAGTTAATGTTGCAGCATTTATCGAAATGTGAGAGAGGAAAAATTTGGGTGAATTTCTTTGTGTAGTGCCTGGTGGAGACGAGTGCGGATATTGCAGAGAGGATTGTGAAACAGAAATGAGATTTTCTGGTGGGGGTAAGGGAAGGAAATACACGGAAATGGCTTTTTGACCCGACCATATTTCCATAGTGGCATTTGATCATTAAAAAAATAGTTTTAAAGTATAAAATGTTAAGTTAAATACCAAAACTCAAAATTGCCCTCATCTTCTACCAATTTCTTGAGTAGAGAATAAAAAGAAATTTCAAATTACTCGCAAAATCTATAGTCGGGATCTAGTCGAAAAAGCATCATCAGTGTCAACCCAACGCCAACCACCACACACTGGTCATTATCTTCAACAAGATTACTTTTTTGTTGAAGATTACGAGATTGATTTTTCATTTATTATGTTTCAAAAATTTGTTAATTAAATTATTATGTATAACGTTTATTATTCATTATTCAGGTAGGTTATTGGACGTAGTAGAGATTTATGTGATTATTAATCATGATGACAACGAAAAAAATTCGACTGGGCTGATTGTAGGCCAACTGTTAAGTGGTAGGTTATTGGATGTAGTAGAGATTTATGTGTTTATTAATCAATTTGACACTTTTCTTGTTGAAAATGATGACTGCAAAAGAAAGTCGGCTGTTAAACTTAACAGTCGGCCTGAGCCTATTCACGGCGACTCGTGTCGACTGTTTTGTTTTTCATTTTCATTTTCATTTTTTTAAAATTATTTTTGATTCTTTTCTTTTATGATAAAATATTTTTTAATTTTATTATATAATATTTATTAATTTAAATTTTTCAATTTTAATTAAATAATATTTGAATTCTTTATTTAATTTTCATAATTTTCTTTTTGTTTAATTTTGTTTAATTATAATTTTTTTTTTTGGAAATCGTTTTAAAATTTCTTTTTTTTTTGATTTACAATTATTTTTCATTTATGATAAAATTTATTTTTTAAAATTTTAATTAAATAATATGTATATTATTTGTTTAATTTTCATAATTACATTTTGTTTAATTTGTTTTGTTTTGTTTTTAATAAAAATATTTTTGAAAATATTTTTATTATTTATGAATTGTTTTCTTAATATAATTTCCAATTTAAAATTATCTATTTTTTTAATTTTCCTTTATTTTTTTATTTTTTCTATAATTCGGTTCGCTTAATTTTTTGAGATTATGCTTATTCCATTATTTTTCGTTGCAGGTTCTAATATTTGTATTTTTGTATAATGTAGTCATCTAGATGTGGAGTTGAGACATATGTCGATAAAATATACATGGAACAGTAGTTTTTATAGTTTTACTACTGTGTTGGAGTTGAAAGATGATCAACAACAGATATCATATGTCAGTCCTTCATGCAGCCTTTGTATCAGTTGAGAAAGGTACAGCACTCTTGGGAAGATTATTGATATATTACTATGTCGGCTGCTTAGGCCAATCGACGATGATGTTTCTATTTCGACCTCGGGGACAATATCGCTACTTTCTCCATATTTGAGTTTGCCCTCATGAATGGACTCAAGATAACAAGCGACGAGGCAGCTACTAACGAAATTCAGAGAAGCAATAGGCTGCACGAGACATATTTTCAAATACAAGGGACATTGCTTCTAATGTAGTTGATTGGTGCAATGAGGAAGTGCGATCAGATTTTGAACATATTGAAGCTAGGATGGTCTACATCCTTGAGAGCGTGGTGAAATGTCATTACAAGAAGACTGTGATCGACCACTTTCATTTGGAAGTTGTTGACGACATCGATGTTTTCAACAACTATTGTGGGTCCGGAGATATTTTGAGAACACTGTACATGTTTTCACCAGATTACACTCGAAGTCCAAGAGGTCCATGCGTAAGTACGATACTTATAGATTGTCCCTGACATTGCAGGTAAATAATTAACAAGGTCAAAGTTTAAAAAAAAAATTTATACTGAATTTATTCATAATAATTTTATTTATTGCAGATCTGGGCATATGAGACTGTACCCCTCTTGGGTACTCGATTTGCTAGGTGAGAAAAGACACGCTTTCCTCGAATGCATCATTGGAGAGCATCTCTAGCAAACGTATGTCCATTTGACAAACATTTATTAGCCCTCCTCGACGACCCTCAAGTGAGTATTACAAATTTGCGATTTATATTTTATGCTGTTTCAAAATTTCATCACATGATCATTAACTAGTTGAACTGTCAATATGTCAGTCCTAACTGAGTTGACGTCATCGACGGAGGAGGAGGGTTGATATTTTGTGCATGAATTAGCTATTCTGCATACTCAACATAACCTGAAGTCTGATTTCATCATGGACCGAGATCGGGTATGTGAATTGAATATAATTTATTGATTAGCGTTTTATATGAGTTAGCCTATTTTAACTAATTTAATAATTTTTAATATTGTTATTTGTGTAGGAGCGCGATTAATTTGATCGACGATAATTTTCGTCGATGAAATCTCCTCCGCCGATGGGATCATAATTTGCTATGTATAAAAAATTATATATCTGGATTAATATTCTATTCATCTACTCATTCCAAATTAAATTCTGCAAATATGTACGACATTTCCCCTTTTTCAGTTGCTTAATTGCTGCGAGTTACAGCGGGTAAATTATATATTAGATTGCAATGGCAAGCTACTTTGTTCATTTTATTGGATATTGAGGTAGCCATCATGTATACGTGAAAATTTTAGATTGGACTGTTGATAGAGAAGAAGAAATCCACTATATCAAAGATAAGTATAAGAGAGGAATTTGGACGACTACACGGAATAATACAATGAAACCCTAAAAGACATCTTATATAGGAGTGAGAATAATAAAACTAGTCCATATTGCAGGGCTTCGCCCCCACGCTCTAGGCCAAAAAATTCTCATAATTTTTGTTTTATCACATGTCACACCGTGAGTTTTTCGGTCGGGTCAAAAATTATAAACAGGAAAACTGGAGATTGATTCTAAGAAGTCTGAACTACCTTGAGCTCCAAGTCGCGCTAGTGAATCTACCACCTGGTTAGCTTATCGATAAATATGCGATACATCAATAGACATAACATGAGCAAACTCCAAAATATCCTCCCAAATAAGACGAATAGACCAAGGTATGTTAACTTAATGATGAAACCAATGTACCACCACATTAGAATCTGTTTCTATTGCAATCATTTCTATACCAAGGACATAGCATATTTATTCTCAGAGCTCATACCTCTGCTAAAGTGTTGGCTCCAACCCCTAGAGAGTAATAGAACCCAAAAATAACATTCCCCTTCCAATCCCGAAGCAATCCACCACAACCAGCCGGACCTGAATTTCCAGCACTTGCACCATCAATATTAAGTTTATAACAACCATGTTGAGGAGGGTACCATTTAACTAGGAATGAAATTTTTACTTGTATTAGAACCGTAGGAATGTGCAATATCTGTGAGAAATAGGAGGAAAGCGACATTTGTTTTGGTTTAAGAAAATCATTCAATTCGTGTAGCCAACATTTAACTTTAGCACAAATTTTTTGCAAATATCTCATCCTTAAATCTTACAAAATTTTTGGCCAATCACAGCTCCCATGAAAGAAGTGGCGGGACAAGTAGAGCTAAAGGATGTTCTTGTGTTGACCCGCCAAAATGAGTATTCCAAATTAAAATTGTAGACCGCCAAGAAATATTTGTAGGCACGTGAACCCCAAATAAATTTCTAAAATACTGCCATGCTTGAAGAGCAATAGGATTGGTGGTGAAAATATGGTTTGTTGTTTCTTCATGTCCCTGTGAACAACATTCACATTTGGAAACAATAGGAACCCCACAACGCATAACAACTTCATCCCCTAGAACCACATTAAGTCAAAGGCGCCAACAAAAAATAGAGATTTTTGAAATATCCTTTAACAGTTGCTACATATATAACATTTTCTAAAGGAAATCTTACAAAATTACTTTTGTCAAATATCTTATTTAAAACTACTTTGTATGTTAACAAATATACTTTTTTAGGAGAGAAAAAGAAGAAGGTAACTGGTAACAGAGATCTTTAAAAACGGCAACATGTTTCCTTGAAACTGAAAGCTAATTTTGTACTTCAAAATGGAATTTGAGCATTGAATAGTATAATAATATTCTCTCCTATTAAAAGACACCGTGATTTATGGTACTGAACTGAAGTATCATTGGCCATTGATCTCAAAGCTTTCATTTTTTGGCCTAACATGTCTTGTACTTTTATCCATCTGTTAAATCATTGGAGGGATTGAAGCCAAAGTTCCGCAAAGGAACCTTAAAAGTCATAATGGAAATTAAAAGAATAATAATAAAATAGTTAATTTAGGAAATATTTCAAGGCAATATTACCTGGAATCTTGAAGCCACCCACTAATAGTAATTTACTGTTATCTTGAACTAAGAAATACACATTAGAAGCTAAAGAAGCCATGGACACAACACCTGACACAGAGACCTAATCGTACGTAGTTGCACTGTCTCGTTCTCAATAATGCATCTCCTCCTACTTTTGTTAAAAGGACATATGACATGTCCCGAGTAAGCCAGGTGTTATCCAAACAATAGAAGCTCCATCCACTATGATCCTTTATAACACCCCACCCGGCCCCTACATGTCACCTTCATTTGCTAGGGTATACTACTACTATTTACAACATAAATTCAAAACACAGACAAGTTGGACTTACAAAGATAGGAATTATACCAATGGCACTACTCCATCGAACCGTCAGGATGCCTTTTCTCACATCAATGACTTCGTACTTTTTCTATTCCGAGCTGTAGTGGCTGATTGAGGTTTTTTCCCTCACGTGGTGAATGTGAAGAAAAGAGGTCAGATGAGGGCCAATAGTAGTTTCCTCACTTGAATTCCAGAAGAAGTGAGTCTCAATCGATTATCTAGATTCAGGTCGATTTCTCTGTGTAATAAACACATATCAGCCAAAAAGATTGCCAATATAATCCAGAGAATCATGGACATGCCTCTTTCCTTTGGGAGATAAATCTTTGCTCCAACTAAACTAAAAAAGTTGTCCACTATGCTTACATTGGGACTCTCCATGTTTTCATATCTATAGAAGTCAGTTATGCTGATGACTTCTTAGGGTTTCATTTAGAAACTGGTAAGGCCATTGTAATCCTTAAACAATAACTGAAGATAGACCCAAAAAAAAAAAAAAGCTCTCAGATCAGCATCTTTACTTGTAGACAAGTAAGCCCAAAACTAATGGACTTAACATAACCTAGTGACTTTTGAACCTATATTTTTGGTGTCTTAATCTTGGAGACCATCTCTAGTAATTAGGCCCCTACCCAGACAAGGAAATATGAAAGAGCTGCACGTACGTATATAGGAAACTTGTGACTGCATCAAAACATGAACTACAAATTAATTTGAACATCAACTTCGAATGTAAAAATTCAAACATAACTAAAGAACTCAAAAAGTTTTGCAATAAAATACCAAGAAACTTATAGTATACCTTCTTCCATAATTATAGATTGGAATTGACAATTACTAACCTGATTTCTTGGTTCAATCGCATCATCACGTTTCCAGGGAGAGAATTTTCTCGCAATCTTTAAGCACAAAAAATCAGGTAATGGCTGAATTGGGTTCGAGAACGAAGAAAGTAATTGGTGTTGAAAAATAAAGCCAAACTTCATGAATTAAATCAAGCACCAAGTTAACTGGATTATCTCAAAATCAACAAACGTAATTGAAAATGTATACTCAAAATCTAAAAGAACAATATTCTTGTGTTCTTCTTATTTAAAACATGCCAAATCCGAGACTATATGTATCCTTTTCTCGCCATTGAGTTGAATTCTGTCACTAGATCTACGGCAAGATCAACAGCAAGTAGATCATTAACTACTATATGACGAAGCTTCACTCCAATTAATTTCTCGGTTGATTACTTCTATTGAAAGAAGGTTCTTCCATTTCTTCACTAACACCGGCCTTGTTTTGATTAGCTCTATCCCCTTCTATCTCTCTATATTTATTCAAGTACCTTTTCATTGGTCCAGCATAATCATCAAATCCTAAAGTTTCAAGAGCCCAGCAAACATCGTCACCATTAATTGTCTTTCGCCTCTCTCTTCTGCACTTGTCCGATGCTTCTCCGGTGACAAAGCCGATGAATTCCGATGCGCATTCTTGCATTGTTTCTTTGGCTTCCTTTGAGATCTTGGCATTTTGTGGCAAAATCTGCTTCATAATCCGGCCAACATTTGCTATAGGCAGCAACCTGTCTTGTTCCTTGATATCATAGGAGGCACTGGCTTCTGGATTATCGGCCATCTTAGCAAACATAAAATGGAGTTTGACTCGTCGAAGTAGATTTTCATGAATATTTCCTAGTCAAACTCTTGCACATACGGACATCTGTTACATTTACAAATCTACGTACGTAGGGCCATGGTCATTGTGTTATTTTTAATGTTAAAATATAATTATAGGACCTGTGGAATAGAAAGGACGTGGAAGTCACCTATATAATTCATTTTATTTAATTTAATAACATTATGGTATTTTGTTGTTTAATTAAAAGACTTTAGTTAGGGTTGTTTTGTCATTGGTGTCATTAGGGTTTTCCCTATTATTCTAACATATTTAAGAGCATGCTTGATAAAGTTCGAATTATAATTGAAGTTGGTCAAGTACATTTTTTATTTACATATTCTATATAACCCATAAATTATGGTATTTTCGTCTAAATTAAATTATTACTAGTTTTTTAGGAGGAATAGTTTTGAGTCTCATAAAATGTATAAATGATAAATGAATAATAATTATGAACATATGATTGAATTAAAACTTGATGACATGGAAAAAGAAAATTATTGATAAAAATTTAGAAAACACAAAAAGAGTCATACGCTTATTATTAACACATTATGCGAGACCATTACTTATAAGCAACAACAGACAAGCACTTAAAATGGAGTTAGAGCTTTCGATAGTTTTTGGTTTTTCGAGTTCTCTTATTCAACCTTGAGTATTTGTCAAATCAATGAGTTTGTTATCAAAATTTTTGGCTTTTTTCTTTAAGTTTATTATATTAGTTTAAAAATAAAGGAGTTAGGAGAAGCATGCATATTTTTATTAAGTTATGAGAGAACTGATTCGTTATGCTTATTTTTCTGTTATTTGATGTGTCATCTCATTGTTATAATAAACTTTTTTAGGTACGTGAAACTAAACTAAAATCTTGATCAAGCCTAAACTTGAGATTGCGGGGACATGGTAGCAACCTAGACATATGCAAGTGATGAGGTAATGGCACACAAGCACATAGTTTGAACTCTTCAAACTCTTGAATCGAATAAGACTATAAATTCTATTATATCATGGTGATTAAAATTGCATTATATTAATTTGAGTTTGATTTGATTTATTATTTGGTAATAATATCAAAGTCAAAGGGTTGAATCTAATTTTGGAAGTAAAGTTAACTTCAAAATTTAAAATAAAAGTTTTTGGTTGTTGACTCAATTGATACAAAATCTATATAGTGCTAAAGTTCTAAATAACTTTGGATTCCTCTTGGGGCAACATAAATGGATGTTGACACCGTTTCTTTGACAAATTATTTTGTCAAATTATCAACACTAACAAAAAAAAAAAACAATATGACTTCAGGTACGGATTTTCAGTTCTTGAAATCAAGATATCCGTTGCTATTACTTTTTACCAATGTGATATTAGCAACCACAAATCCATTGTTAATTTAAGGATCGTTGATAATTACCAACGGATTGCATCGTAGGTAAAAAGTAAACATTTTACAAACGAACTTTCTGCAAGTAAAGTCTGAACATTTTACCAATGGAAATTTCGGTGGTAAAAATCTTGATAATTACCAATTGATTTTTCGTTTGTAAATGTCTACCATTACATTTGGTGAAAAATGGTGTTGTAACTAGCGGCATAGGTGCAAGGAGTGGCAAAAAAAATTTATTTATTTATTTTTATTATTGTTTAATAATTATAATTTTTTTAACTTTTGGCCAACATAATTGAAAGGTCCAAAAAGATGTTTAATCACTTATTAGACCACTAATTTATAGAGGTCATCTCCAAAGATTTTGTTGTGAACTTTCGATGTGGGATAAAAAAATTTCTTTAATTTAGCAATTATTAAAATTGATTAATATCGTCAATAGATTTCTTGTAGGTAATATAAATTAATCTTCACCTACAGCATTTTCGTTGATGAAGAGGCTCAAATTAATTATCCTTCACCTACTGATATTCTGTAGGAGGACATTTGAATTTTTTTTAATTATTAAAATTGATTAATTTAGCAACGACAATTCCATTGGTAATATGAATTAGTCTTCACCCACGGAAAATCCAAAGGTGAAAGGTCGATACATTTTCCGGAAAAAAAAAGAAGTTGAATTACATTACCTATGGAAATGTTGTTGGTAAATGGTAATCATATTAAAGAGCAACATTAGGCACGAAATATCCGTTGGTGAAGAGATACAACTTTTACCAACAAAAATTCTGTTGGTAATTTTCGTAGTTAAAAATCTAATACTTTTATCAACGAATAATCCTTTTCTGATTACCAACGGATTTATCCGTAGGTGAAAAGCTGATTGTTAGCAATGAAATTAATTCAACAAGATCATTATTTTCTTGATTGTTCCTATATTGGATCTTTACTATTCACCAACAATAATGGATTCTGACGGGTTAAACTCAGTCAATTAGGAGAGTTAATCATTTTCTGTGCAACTCCTTTTCATTGGATGTTTAGTAGGCTCCAATTGAATCTTGACTAACCACATATAATGCACCATTTAGTGGACATTTTCCAGGGCATGCTCACACTGATTCGACGTGGCCCAATAATCTTAATTTAGTACTTTGTTTAACTTTATAATTTTGTTTTGCAAGTTAACACGTTCTTTTAAGATCGGCCATGCTTCTTGTCGAGGCTAAAGATATTGCATTTTGTTTTCCTTTTTCCTATAAAAGATATTGCACTTGTGAGCCCAGCCTAGTCAAGCTTTTCTATTTATATATAGAAATTATTAGTAAATTTTGCTAACTTGACGTTTGGAAAAAAAAAATTCGATTGATTTGAATATTTATTTTAATAAAAATCCAGACAAGTACTATATTCTTGTAATTCTACATATCTGAAGATATAGATTGTTGGAATATTCTAGATTCAGTTCCAATATCAGAATACATGGCTTCCACATGCTCTTCTCCAGAAGTAACACAAGCTGCCTTCTTCCAGATTTTTCACCAGCACATGCCTTATTCTAAATCCTTCTTTCGTTTGTTATGTAGTTAGAAATTCACTCTATAAATAGAGTTATGTACTTCATGTTTTACTTGAGTTTGATGAATAAATAAATTCTCCTTCTATCATCAGCTCTTTCAATATAAATTTTCGTATTGAATCTATCTTTCAATTTCAGTTTATGATTTCAGTTCATTTTCTGCTGGTGTTTCATTTTCTTCCTGCTGGTTCATGTTTTCTGCTCATCTGTGCTGCTGTTAAATCTATCATTTTAATTTTTCTACATGGTATCAGAGCAAATGCTCCTTCCGTCTGCAATTCTATCAGTTTATTCCGCCTTCTCAAATCTGGAATGAAGAAATCTGCTCAAATTTCATCAGATATTCAATTTTTTCCTGGTGATTTGTCCACCAAGGTGATGAGTCGTGGAGCTGAGAAATATGAAGATTCAGTTAACTGCTGCGAGTCAGGTGCTAACAAGAGTATTTTGGAACATGATGCACCTGAAATTAATTTGGCTTGCTCGAAGCATTTCTCAATTTGCAGCTTTCTGGATGATGGGCTTTCCTTTAAGGTATTTGACAAAACTTCCCACTGGCGAGAGGAATTGCACTGGTAGTTTTACTTCCAGTCATTGCTTGAGTTTATTTAACATTTCCAGTTCTTCTTTCATTCATCAACGGTGATGAAGTTTTTATTCAGCAAATCCCCGGCAGAGCCATGGATGCTCTTTTCCGGTTGAAGTACATTGCTATTATTTTCTTCCTCTTGAGTGCTTCTCTTTTCAACCTCAAGCTTCTCTTCTGCATTTCTGCTATTCCCTCTACAACTCAAGTTGTTTCATCTTGAGGGGGGAGTATTGGAATATTCTAAACTCAGTTCCAATATCGGATTACACGGCTTCCACATCCTCTTCTCCAGAAGTAACACAAGCTGCCTTCTTCCAGATGCTTCACCAGCACATGCCTTATTCTAGATCCTTCTTTAGTTTGTTATGTAGTTAGGAATTCACTCTATAAATAGAGCTATGTACTTCATGTTTTACTTGAGCTTGATGAATAAATAAATTCCCCTTCTATCATCAGTTCCTTCAACATGAATTTGCATATTGAATCTATCTTTCAATTTCAATTCATTTTCTGCTGGTGTTTCATTTTCTTCCTACTGATTCATGTTTTCTGCTAATCTGTGTTGCTGTTGAATCTATCAATGATAAAGTATGAGAGTTTGAAATATCTCGATTTATGTTACTTGTGATAAAATGACACGATTGCATTATACAAGCTTGAATGGTCACTAATTGTCACCAAATTAAACCATATTTTCAATTTTTTGGGATGTTATAATCATTTTATTTTTTAATGTTTGTCGTTTCATCGATGATCACGTGGGTATAGAGTTATTCTAATACAACCACGTGTAACCAATATAATAGTCCTCAAGCATAGATGCAGGAACCCATCACATCGATGACATTAGAATATTTATTAATTATTAAGATTCCAATATCACTCCTATTAAGTTTAATTTGATTCTAATTTGTAAATTTGCAAGTGGGAATAGTCTCAATTTAAGAAATATATTTTATGTACTTATGAATTATATGTATATTTCAAGGTTGTCGGGATAACTAACCTCATTGGCTTCAAGTGTCGTGTTTTAGACAGGTTGTTAATCAATTAGTTAACTATTTATTAGTACTAAAACCGAAGCATAAAATAAATTACAGCCAATCCTTAGGAATCTTAAAAGTAATCCTCAAGATTCTCCCATTCATCCATTTTCCTAAGATTTGATCTAAATTTGCATCTTTGACTTATTGAACATAAATTTTGACCAATTGTAATGAACTCGCCTTGATCTTGAGTACGGTTAAAAATAATAACCTAATCAAATACAATCGGGCTGTGTGTAGAGAAAAACAGCCTACAGAACACACATAGAGCAGGGGGTGGTTTTTGTTTTTTATAATATTTTACTCATATGGGCCCACCCTCATGTGAGTGTTCTGGCCATTTTCTGTGATGAATAGTTCTGTACACAGAGTCATTCAATCAAATATTATACTGAAAATTTGAAATCACATCTTTTACTATAAAATAATGTAGGCTGCACCATTTAGTACCTTTTTCATGAATGAAAAACATAACCCCAAAAATGAGGCCTTCAAAAGTTGCAATACTACTCAAGACAGCCCCTTAGAGGTATGGCATTGTTACTGTTATCGTCACAAGTAATAAAGTGATGAATATAGTATAATTATTAAACTCACAATTAATGATTTTGAGTTACTCCTATCTACTTACTAAATCAATCACAAAAGGCGCTAGAATCCTGAATCAACAAATTGTTAACCTACTTTAACCCTCAATTACCCATTTATGGTCAATTCGTATGCTATGTTGACAATCGGTATATCTTGTGTGTTAATTTTTCTCTTGAGATAAATGAAACAAATTTGTACTTATGATCCAACTATGTCTCTACGAAAAATGCAAATAAATAAAAATTAAATACAAATCTAGAATATCAATAAGGATTGCACAAAGCATAGAAGTAGATTTATGTCGTATAAGAATTAATGTTGTTTACTATCATCTGTTAATTTGTATTAAATCTTTCAAAAGCAATATAAATAAAAAAAAATACATTGATGATCGACGGATGAAGTGTTATAATATTTTAATGGATAAACTACTAGGCCGAAACACAAACAAGGAAAATAATTTATTACAACAGTTTTTTACTCCGGCAAACTGAGTTAGTGTTCGAACAATATCGAAACAAGGTTTGGAAGGAAAACAGTATGCAAGACAGACAGAAGCAAAATTGGAGTTTCGACAGTATGCAGAACAGGAGGAAATTTCGTAAGTTTGAACTGGAGGAAAAATGTTCTCTTATATAGACTTTTAACACTCTTATATATATAACTGGAGGAAATAACATAGGCCCGCCTATGGGCCAATTTTTGGTCAATCCGGTCCGACATTCGTGTGCGTAGCGCTCGCATACGAGTTCAAGGTCCGAAACCCATTTCGGGGCATGATTTGCACCCCCCCTGCGCACACACGTGACGAGAGCCTCTATGCTATACATAATTATACCATTCCAAAGTGCAATCATATATAAAGTGATTTTTGTTTTCCTCATTTTCCTATGTGGGACTATTATTTTAGTTTCTTACCCACATAAACTCCTTTCACATAACATATTTTGAGCACCAATTTCTCATTCACCCAAGTATCATTTTTGACAAGTAAATACATGATTTCGATATACTCATGGAGGATCATGGAGGAGAACACAAATCAACTTCCATATTCCAAAATGAACAAACGGGTCCCATTCAAATTTAGCTCCAAAGTCAGCCACCTAACCATTTTTTCCAACATGAAGTGGTGAGACCTCGATCCAAAGAGAACATGTATCTTCCCATCTATGTTTGCAATTCTACAATGATGGAGAAAAAAATTGATACCTTTGGTCACACCAAAATTGCAAGTAAATTTACTTTTAAGAAATTCTTTAAATCCCCACCCTCAGTATGTATACGAATATTTTTACTGAATATATTGATTTTGCCAATATAATGGGTGTTTATTTCTCTATCCCAGCTGCTAGAGATTATTTCAAGATAGAATGTCAAGCCACTAGGAATTTCTTAGAGGCCGGAGAGAATTAAAACAGTAAATGAAAAATCAAGCCTCCTCAGAGGATTGACAAGTGAAGATGTGACAGCATTAAATAAAGCATTCCACCCTTTTTTACTCTAATTTCAGTGCAGAGATTGTAATCTTCATTAGTCCATTCACGACATGCAGCACTAAATAAAGTATTCACTTTTGGATTTAGCAATTGTTTTACATTCTACCAACCTATTCCAAACTCTCACCAAAGGACAGAATGAAAGCTTTCATGCTTTGCACTTTCTTTATTTTCATTTTTAGCTCCACTTTGCTCTGCTCTCATCCTTTCATCAGCCAAAACAAACTCTCAATCTTGGCCAGAACAGCTTAGAGAAGTCGCATCCGTCCCTGCATTTCCTTTTGAATGGACCATAAAAATGCCTCCATCCAGAGTGAGAAGAATGGATCACTATCTCCTAAACTATAAGTGTACAGTGTCGTGACAAGTGGTAATATAAATTTGAGTCCAAGTGTGATTCAACTTTGCTTCGTGAACAGAAAAAGAAGCCACAGAAGACCAACAGAACACGTGGTGGGGACCGCAAATTGTTTTTTAAATACAAGGTGGGACCCCTGCATTGTGAGTATTCTGGTGTCTTTGGGCTTGCAACTAGAGTGTTGAACAGGTTTGCAATCCAGCATGGCCCAAAAGTATCTGATCCTCAGAATGCTTAGCCTGCTAAGGCCCATCATTAATATTGGATGTGTTCTGTTGGTACTAGAATGGTTCAACTCAACTCATTTCATATCTCTATTTCATAATGGTTGCAAAATGTGTTTTTTATTACGCCAACCCGTTAACATCATAAATAAGTTCATGAAGGATCCATGCTTTGTACATACTTATATCCTTAACTTTTTTCTTCATCACATTTTAATTACATTTAAGGTCATTAATCATTATTCATTGTCACACTTATATCCTTAACTTTTTTCTTCATCACATTCTTATTTTTAATATTTTATTAATCAACAAATATTGCTCTTAATAATGATTTTTATCCAAAAATGTTGTTAACGTGCTTTAAAATGAGTTTCAAACATTTAATTAGATTTTTCCATTATTATTATTATTATTTGCTTATTTATAAATACAATGGACAAATGAATCTTTTTACTATATTTTAAAGTAAATGTTTATGAGAAATCATAACCAGGAAAAATTTATATTAATTTGAGAGTTGAATGCGATAAAAAATAAAATTGAGATATAAATGTAATAAACCTTCCATACACCTAAATGTAGTTTAATTATTAAAAGTTTCGGTATGAATATATTTAACCTAACTTAAATTACATACGACGCCGCAGTAGCTACAAGGTGAGAGGGCAACTTGCCTCGTCTTATTTTCTCGACACACTCATTCTCCGCTCAAGGTTAAGAAAAATTTCGTAGGTTACTTCAACTTTCTAGGGCATAGCGTTTCTACCCCCAACCAGTTGACCAAAACTTGATACATAATTACTTTAAACATTTGTATTATGCTAATATAAAATTAAGTCTTCTAATCTATTTAAGTCACCCGTACAGCGTGTCGGATTTGCCCAACTAAAAGTCCACTCTATTTTTCCACTTTATTTATGAATTTTTATGTACGAAATATTTTAAAGGAGTATATACAAAATATTATTTCATGTCTCGTTATGTTTCAGGTTTATTGTTTGATTTTTTTCATGTAACGATATCTCAAACACTGTAAAATACAAATTCATAGTAGAGTATTTCAATTTATTATTTTAAGACTTAAAATAATATCTAAGCAACAATTAGAACTATTTTGGAAGTTTGAAAATAAAAACGTAGTTGCCTTGTAGACAAATCGTGATCATTTTATTCTTTGTTGTTGTTGTTATCAACGTCTTCTTCGGGTTCAAGCTTAAGAAGTCCAAATTATTTCATAACTTTACTCAAATAAAATGAAAAGAAGTTATCAACTTTCACTAATTTCCTTTCGACATTGAGGATCAGACAATCAAACCATATTTTACAGCAACATAACCCTAGTTTTTAGGTTATTCTAAATGCCATCATCTTACCAACAAACGAGGTCAAATCGCTTCCCATAACTCATCGCCTGACCATGTTGCTCAATCAACAATCTCGTATTAGAAAATTGATATTTTGTAAGAGAGTAGCATGGTTAGCGAGTTAGCATCTCTATGCACATAGGAACGACTTGATTGGATCTTGTAGGTTTTTATACCATTCGTTCAAAATCTTGTTTACTTTTACCGATGACAAATGATTCAATAAGAAAGACCTTCAAAGACATATTGAATCAAAATATACTCTTAATTTCAACATACAATGGAAGAAAAAATGAAGATACTACTTTTTCTCTTTTTGCTGGCTTTAGAGTCGGAGAATTTTTTTGTTCTTGTCTTTATAATTTATGAATAAGAAATTAGAAACATGAAAAAAGATCGTCCAATGTATTTAAAGAAATAAATATTCTTACTATTACATGAACTAATCTAACAATTATAATAAAAAATCGAGAATTTCTCAATTTTGTCCAAACCCTTGGCTCTGGTAAGCCTTAGTCCGTTCGATTATGAATCACATAGCTTAGAATTACCCATCCACTCTGAATACGCCAAGACCGTCTTTTTTCTCATCTTCTCTCTCTAAAACTCGTAAAAGAGAATTCTCTTTCACGCTATAGCTACAAGCAAGAGAAAGAGCAGTCTCTCTTTTCCCCCCTTCTTCTCTCTCTCTCGCTCTCTCTTTGATTCAACCATTACATGAAGCCTTTGCTCTCATAGAAGAGTACCCAGGTGCTGTCCTTCTCTGCTTTATATATACATATAAGTTTTTTAAGTACCTAAGATTGATACCCTCAAAATATTTTCCCTTATTCGATAATACATATACATGCATCTATCGTTACATGTTATATTTATAATATCTTATGTATTGGCTATGTTTATTGGGTTTGCTTGGGAAAATTATGGGGCAGAGGGAATTCAGGAGTTTAATTTTGTGGGATCACATTGGAAATTCCCATGAAGTTCGTAGCTTTTGTTGATGATTTTTGTTTTGTTGTGCATTGTTCTGTTTCTGTTGCTTTAATGCTAATAAAGCTTGGCCAGAATATTTTACCAGTAAAAATGAAAGATGTGAATTGGTTTTTGTTTGGTTATCAGTTGAGATAGAAAAGGGGTATGCCAGATTGGAATTTAATGTGCTTTGTTTTGTGGTTTTGTTATGTCCTTTCTGTGATAAAGTTGCTGTCTTTATTGTCAATTGAAAAATGGATCTAATATTTATTTTATTTTGTGGTATTTGACAATCTTGTTGGCTACTTGCTAATTTGGTAGGGTGGATTGTACAACAGTAAAGTCGAACCAAAACAACTGCACTAGCAAAAACAGTACACCTATGTTAAATGATTGGAATCCCCATAGTAGAAAAGTGGAGCCACTGCCATAACTATGATCAGTATGGAGATAGAATTTAAACAAGGTTTAACTAGACTACAAAGATTCATTACAATTTCTTCATTCATTCAGCAGTTTCTACGAGTCTCCATGCTAGAAAAGTAATATCGTTAACACGTCCTTAATGTATTTAGACGTTGAATAGGTAAGAAAGTAATCTTAGGCTGAGGTTATCCTAATATCTTAAGCTGCATTATGCATATGCTATCTATTCTAATTACCAGCTAGTTGTAGAAACCAGAGATACACACTATGCTTATTTATCGTCTATGGCTATTTGAGTTTTGATTTCCTATACAGGATATGAGATTCTTGTTTATTTGATTGCAATAATTTATAATTTAAGATAATCTCATCGAAGTTGGTTCAACAATTTTTGTTGTTAACCATTTGATTGTCTGTATGAAGTTACTGGTATTTTTGTTCAGTCGAAATTGGATGTTTTATTTGGCAGATGGCTTCGGTTCGCTTAGATCAAGATGGAGATTGCATTGATAAACTTTTGGTTGAGCATTTATTCCCCTCGGACTCTTCTGATGTAAGTGATGACTTTGGAGAGCCAGATATCCTTCCTCGAATTGGAGATGAGTATCAACTTGAAATTCCACCATCCATCGAAAAGTCCCTCTATATTTCGTTCACAAATAATTCAACAGATGCACAAAATGGAGTTCATTCTCACCACCACTTCTTTATTGGATTGCCCATGCCGTTAATGTGGATCAATACCAGAGGTGTGTGGATAAAGCAAGAAGCATGGGAAGAACCAAAAATTGCTTCAGATTTCAGATCTTCACAAGCTAATAATATCAAGAAAAAAGAGTATTCCTATAATGAAAATTTTGGGATTAAAACTGAGCCTTCGCATTATTCAGTAGACAGTAGGAGGGAAATAAGAAAATCAGAAAATTTACCATTGGAAGACAACTTACACCAGTCCAGCAATCAAGGATATTTTTTGGTTCCTGGATTATGTAGCGAGCATTGGACTGACATTGAAGAGGATAGCTTCCTTCTTGGTTTGTACATCTTCGAGAAGAACTTTGTTCAGCTCAGGCAATTCATTGAAAATAAAGAGATGCGTGCTATACTGTCATTTTATTATGGGAAATTTTATGGTACAGATAAATATCATAGATGGTCCGAAGGCCGAAAGATGAGAAGCAAGAAGTGTGTATATGGGCACAAGATCTTTTCTGGTTTGAGGCAGCCGGAATTACTGTCTCGTATACTTCCTAGCATGTCAGAAGAATGTCAAAATGCTCTAGAGGAGGTACTTCAATGAATTATTTCTGCATCTAATTGAAACTACTTGCGGTGAGGGAAAAAGATTTTCCTCAAGCAGTAGCAGATCATAAAATTTGTGAATCCAGCACAACAACAATTGTTTATAACCGATCACTTTGTTCTGATAGATGGCCATACACAAATAGAGATAACAACCTGGTCTAAACCAATCTAGTTCCATGTTGTATTGTGACATACACCTTAGGAGAAAATCAAATATATTTAGAAACTAAGAGCATGTTTGAACCCCATTTTTGGATAAAAATGCATTTTGGAATAGTGATTTGATGAAGAATGCGTGGTTAAAAAATAAGGAAAAGTTTTGAGTTTGCGTGTAATATTATTTTATTGAAGAATGTGTGGTTGAAAATAAGAGAGACAAAAAGGGATCAAATAAGGGCTAAATATGCGTCAACTAATTTTTGCTTATTCATCTCATTATAATTGATGATTAAACATCTAGAGCAACTGTGTTGCCAAGTTTCTCTTATAACATCTAAAAAAACTGCAGACATACGTTTCATCACTAGTGCGTTTCAATTTATTGGCAGGTCTCAAAGTCATTTGGGGAGGGGAAAATGTCACTACAAGACTATATATCCTCTTTGAAGACCATGGTTGGGATGAAAGTTCTTGTAGAAGCAATTGCAATTGGTAAGGGAAAGCAAGATCTCACGAGAATGGCCTTGGAAACTTCGAGGTCCAACCAAGTTGTCCCTATTCGTCCAGAGATACCAACTGGAAAAGCATGGTCATCCCTTTCAACCAGTGAAATTATCAAGTTTCTAACTGGAGATTACCGATTGAGTAAAGCTCGCTCAAATGATCTGTTCTGGGAAGCTGTTTGGCCTCGTTTGCTGGCAAGAGGTTGGCATTCGGAGAAACCTAAGAATCAGGGTTATATTGCTGGTTCAAATCATGGTTTGGTTTTTTTATTTCCTGGTGTCAAAAAGTTCTCGAGAAGGAAACTGGTGAAAGGCGACCACTATTTTGATTCTGTGAGTGATGTCTTGAGCAAAGTTGCCAAAGAACCTGAACTGCTTGAGCTTGAAGCAGAAGATGATGGTAACAAGAACAAAGAACAAGATGATCATGATCTGCCTATGAGGCAACGCCATTGTTATCTTCAACCTCGAACTCCGAATCGCAATAGTGACATAATGAAATTTATGGTTGTAGATACTAGTCTCACTGATGGGAAACCTTATAAATTGAGAGAATTGAGAAGCCTGCCATTTGAAATTTCGAACATGTTGACCTCGCGAAATCATTCTGAAGTTAGTGATGAGGAGAGTACTGATGAGACCACTGATGAATCTGATACTGTCAATACCATGCATGTTGATTCAGGAGTGACAGATAATGCAAGTCTCCATACAACTACCTCCAATGAGAAAATGCTTCCTGGTAGGAAAGACCATGATGTTAATGCCCCATACCAAGATATTCATACCATTGGTCCTAATGTTGATAATATTTTGTTGAGTAGCTTGAAGAATAAAAAAGATTTACACGAGGACAAGCAATCGAGGAAGTTCATAAACTCCCGCTCGAGCCGGAAGCAGAAACAAGATATGGACAGTATTGCTCCCATCAGAAAACTGCATCAGGGGCTATCTGCTTGTAGTTGTGATGAAACAAGCAACGGTGGGGTTCATTCCTTGAGGGTTCCCAGATCGGAAAATAAGATTTCTAGTTGCTGCTCAGGCGTTCATGAATTTTCTGAGTATAAATCTACTGAAGTTGGTTCTTCTCAAGATAAGTTGTCATCCACCAGTTCCCCAAAAGGTAGTCCCATTGGTAGCGTTGAGTGTACTCCTAATGCCAATATTGATGCTGCAGAAGCCCCACTAGAGAATCCTCAATCTCAGACATTGATTGACCTTAATTTTCCTCAAGTTCCCATGGACATGGAGAATGGTTTCTTAGCAACAGAATCACAAAATCCCTCTGCTATTGAGGCTAGTTACGACCAGCAGCCTAGCATGAATATGCCGAGGCATAGCACTAGGAACCGGCCTCCAACAACCCGAGCACTTGAAGCTCTGGCTAATGGTCTTTTAACCATAAAAAGAAGGCGGAAAAGTAAAAATACCAGTAGTTTAGAGAACAGGACATCTGACCTTTGAGGTTTGCCTGTCGTGTGAAGGCACTTAATGTATTTCCCAACAGTACTGTGGCTTTCCAGATGAAGAAGCTGAAAATGTTATGGTGATCACAAAATTCAAATTCTGCTATAGGGAAATTGAGGGAGTAGTTTCTATAGGACCGAACAGTATAATGAAAGATTTAACTTACGGTCTAATATTATTCAATCCCCCTCTATCAAGCATGCCATAAGTTGGGAAAATTAACTCGGCTGTGGGAACTGGGATTCGCATTGGTGAGTGCATCATATTGGTTATCTTGCTAGCCTCGACACATGAAATGCCAGAGTTGACAGTGCAAGTGTCAAAGTTCGTATGGTCCCCCGAAGAACTAAACTCTCCAAAGGTGAGAAATCATACTTTCATCTGAAGTAGTAAACAGCAATATAAGGAATGTTCAAGAAGAATACTGCTTTGTTGAGACTGAGGAATAGTTTAGTGGATGCTCATTGTTATTGCAGTTGATTCAAAGTTCAACCAGAAAATGAAGTTAAATTGTCTTTCTTGGTTCTTTCACACTGCTGAAATTTTAACATGTTCTTATGTGACAAAGTAATCTGTGGCTACTGCAGCCGTATATAATTGAATATAGGTTTTGCTTGCAATACATGTAGTCGACCACAAATTTCTTGGGGATGAGGCTTATTCATTCTGTAGAATTTAGCGTTATTACTGAGGACCCTTTGATTGATTTTTGTCTGATGAAGCAGTAGATCAGTAGATACATACATACAGAGAGGGATACTAAAATAGGCTTGATTTCTAATGATACGTTTTATGGATAGGTAATACAGTTGAGACTGGTCATACTTTTTGTGCATTGAAAACTTAGTTTTTAAGATTTCTGATATTCCTATAATTACTTGCTGCTTTCCTTCATATTTTACTCAGAACTCTGAATTAAAATAATTCAGGTAAAAGGTAAACTGTTGGGATGTTAAAAGATTTTATTAAAATCTACATATGCACGTGGTTTTGATTTTTGCTTTTCTCGTTAAATTTCTGGAATTTAATATTTCTTGATTACTTTTCCTGACAAGGAAAGAACGCCGTGAGGGAAATCCTATGCCAAAAACCTTGGACCTAGAAAAAGAATAAAGGCTTGTTGGGGCAGGTTTTTCCATTCTTTTTTTGTTTCAACTTAAAATGGACAAAAAAAAAATACGAGTTTTATTCTTCTTAGAAAACTATAGAATTTAAAACCTTCAAGGGAAAATCTCGACTTGTGAAAAGTCTAGGTATATAACCCGAGTTTGTGAATGAAACACTCCATTTAAGTGCAAGTGTTTATATTGATTTTGATTCATGGCTATCGATGTAACCGGTGATATTTTGGACACAATATGTTCTTACTCTCAACAATCTCAAAACGAGTTCTTGAATTTTTTTTTTGAATAAGCAAACATAAACTCTTGTTTTTACTATAATAATTAATTAAGAAAACAGAAAATAGCAGCCATGGTTCCTTTCAATCGGCCACTCCAGTTATCTTTGCAAAAGCAAAAGATTTAAATAATAAAATCTATAAAATAATTGTACTCTCTTCATTAAGCAATGACAATGACATAGTCTTAGAAGGTCATTTGCAAATTCCTAGTATTTTGTGAACCAAATTTTGTCAAAATATGACTCTGAATGTTCTCAACAGATTCTAGAAGATACCAAAAGACTGCTCCATAGTTGAAGAAAATTAAACAATTAGACCAACTTACCAACAAGAAACTGTCAAACTTAAAAAAGTTGGTTCAACCACGTGGAAACCCGACTTGTAAAGAGTGGAAAACGGTTATTTCATCAATCATTCAACTTTTATTATTATTATTATTATTATTATTATTATTATTATTATTATTATTATTATGTCACTTTTAAATTTTATTGTTAAGTCATCCAATCTCAAAATGTGTAACTCATTCGTTATTTTGTCTAATTTTATTTTACCAGTGATGAGACTAAGACATTTGTTGTGTGGCCAATTATGTAACGAAAAATAAAGTCGGCTAAGCTAAATCATGCAAGTGTAAGAAAAATTGCATTAGAAATACCCATTATTGAAATTGATTTATTAGCATTTAATGTTAGAATCCCCAAACCTCATATCCCAATCAAATTTCACTATTGAGAACTTAAAATTTTATTTTTACTTTCAATGCCTACTAGCTTTGATCACAAACCCTAGTTCCTTGCATTCAATTCTTAAGTGTTAGAAACCTTGTCATTTTGTTTTGAAAGATTGGTTTTCAATATGGGATTTGGGCTATAAATTACATAATACAATTAACCATTTTAAACAGAAAAGTAATGTTATTTAACTCACTGAGATTGTAATCTCAATCTAGATAACGTTAATGTAACATTAAATCATAAGTGAAATTAAATGACTCATTAAATTTCACATTTCATTTAATTGATTTAACATAACATGTAGCCCCCCTTAAATTGAGGTGAAAGTATATAGCATTATTCTAAGCCAAAACCGGGGGGTGGTGGGAAGCCTTTTTAAGTCACCATGGTTACTTCTTACGTTAGATAAACGGAGGCACCAGGTAACGGCGTAACGCGTAGAAACGTGTTGAACACCAATAAAAATGGTTCATTCTCTGCGGATACTGAGTCTTCATTAGCCGTGTTGAACACCAATATAAATGGTTCATTCTCTGCGGATGATACTGTGTCTTCATTAGCCATTCTCTCTGTCTCTTTCTCTCTCTCTAAAGTTAAACTCTTAAATTCTACAAAATCATAAACAGGAAGGTGTTTTCAATTTCTTGGATTTTCTCTCATCGTTATGGAGCATCGTGCGTTCGAAATTATTTCTATGTCCGGTAAGGATCTCAATAGAGTCAATCTCATCACGAAGATGGCGGTGTACGCGGTGGTTTCAATTTCCGGCGGGGACAAAATGTCGAAGCAGACTACGAAGACGCCGGTGGATAGAGACGGCGACACCAACCCCACATGGAATTTCCCTATGAAGTTCAAGTTGGATGAGGCGGCGCTCCGGCAGAACCTCCTAACTCTTGATTTCAAGCTTGTTTGCGAGCGTGCGTTAGGCAATAAAGATATTGGTGAAGTCCATGTACCCATCAAACAGCTTCTTGATTCTCCGACCACCGGCGCCGTCGGTAATTATGGAACCCAGCAGCGATTGGTTAGTTATCAAGTGAGGAAACCTAGTGGACAACCTAAAGGTCAAATAACCTTTTCATACAAGTTTGTTGATAAGGTTGCGCCGCCACTACCGGTTCCTGGCGCGGCTAAACTTGATGAGGAACCTGTTACCGCATATCCGGCGGTAGGGCCCAGATTTGCGTATCCATCTCCATCTCCAGGAGGAGTATATCCTCCTTATCCAGTTGACCATGGAACAGGGCAGTATCCACCACCACCTGGAGGATATCCTCCACTGCAGCCTCCAGCGGGGTATGTATACCCACCTCTACCGTCTTATGGTGGGTACCCACCGCCACCACCGCCAGGATATGGATATCCACCCCAACCCGGGTACGGATATCCAGCTGTGCAAAGGCCACCAAAGAAGAACAATTTCGGTTTAGGAGTAGGAGCTGGATTATTAGGTGGATTCTTGGTAGGCGATATGATTTCTGATGTCGGAGATTTTGGTTTTGATGGTGGATTTGATTTTTGATTCATAATTTTTTTCTTGTAATTAATCACTTAATCTTGGAGGATGATGTATGAATTTTGCGACCTTTTACATTAATTTTTGGGTTCCTATTGCATATTTGGTTGTGTGCATTGGGTGCTTGCTTTGGATAATTCGTCATTTATTCTCTAAAGCTGAATAAAAACATTGTCGAAATTGATATTTTTACGCTTCGTCATCGAGGCTCAACAAATTAGAAGCTCAACAAAGGTCTCATTCCATGTCATCAAGATGACAAAGCAGACTCCTCAATCTAAGTGCTGCAAAAGACACTCCACATCATCAAGACGACGAAGCAAGCACCTCAATTGAAGTGCTGCAAAACAACATAGAGGGGCTATTCACTGCTTCAGCCAAAGAGCTAAGTCGGTGGAGCAAAAGCCTCTTAACAACTCAGGAGAATAACGACGCGCTGCTTCAACGGAAGCACCATATAGAAGGCCCAAGCCCATATGATCGAAGCAAAAGCTTCATAACCTTAAAGGAGCATATTTTGTATCTACCTCTCCTATAGCCTCAACGAAGTGGAAGAAGGGACCTCGAGTCTCGAGGCGTGATGACCCCCCTTGAGGCCAGGGAAAGAGTTCGCAGGCTGGACAACCTGATCCGAGCCCAAAGCCTTCTCGTGAGCATATTTTGTATCTACCTCTCCCAAGAGATCATCCTCTCCCAAGAAATCATCTGCATAAAGATCTCATGCGAATTATTCATGTGACCTCTTGTAGCAATATAAAATCAAGTCTTGTTAGCCATACCATAGACACACATCTAAGTCATAGGGTGGCTATCTTTTCAAAGTGTATTTAATGCAACATGTCCTATGATGGATGAAGTGACTTCTATAATGGAACGTCGTCTCATCCATTGGATGGAGACACATGTTTCTCCATCCAACGACCGTCGCTTCAGTAAGGCAATAATAAAGACTACAACACACACCAACTTGAGTGTCCACACAAATTGAAGAATTGCATTATTCGAAGTGAGCTCAGAGATCATCTTCCTTAATCGAAGAATCGTATTACTATGTTAATAAAATAATGCATGTTCCACGAATTTATTATTCGATTGATTAGAATTTTTCTTCCTTTAGTAAAAAGAAATTGGAAAAAGGCTGCAGTTTTGATAAATGAACAAAGATTACTGTCAAAAGAAATTTACTAGGTTATCAATAAATAGGTTTAAAATGATAATTGATGATACCAAAAATTGCATCTGGTGAATTTCGAGCTTGACAACTGAGAATGAGCACAAACGTGATCTTCCGATACCTGAAACAAAGGTGTTGAGATGTGTCCTCGTCGCCTCTCTGATGCTTAAGTCAAAGAGAGAATAGAGAAAAAATATATGCTGAAAATATATGATCATCTATTGAAATCAGATTATAAATCGTTCATATACATGTAGCATAAGAAAGTAAATAATCACACCAATAGATTTAATGAAATAAAGATTCAACACATAGTTCAATTGTTCGATAGAAAAAACAAGATTGATTCTATGAAAAACTTAATACATGTTAAATCAATTTCAAAATTAATTCATAAATATGAAAATCTAGATCTAGAAATGTTTAGCAAAATAAATACCAAAGAGCATGAATAAATGAT